AAGATATGTGAGTTCAATACCCGGTTAAGGCAGTGGAGAACTTTCAGAGGGAAATTAGCAGGAGATAACTGATAACTGACAACCATTAGACATGGCACGTGGAACTAGAACAGTCTACCCCAGTGAGCGAAATAAAGGGTTCAGTTTGACATTCCAACCACCTGAAGAAGGCCGGAGCGTACAACGGCCGAAACGTTGTAATAAATATGGCGACAAAGATGAGGACAAGAGTCCGTATAATGTAAATAGTGTACATAATACCTCATCTCAGAAATATAGACAAATATTATTTATATGTATAATTCTCAAAATGTGTGTGCGTATGTATGTATGTATGTGTGTGACCGGATGTTGTTTATGGGTTTCCACAGTTTTCATCCGAACGCTTCTGCACTGGAGGCTGAAAATGATGATCAATGGAATCAACGGCTGAGGAGAAACGCCTTTTCAAATGCTGCCGCGCGTGAAGCTGAAACAAGATTGCGAACGCGAAAACGGTCCTTTTTTTAGTACCTCCCCTCCATTCAAATTGTTGCCTAAACAGGGCGGAAAATCGATAAAACCCCAAAACCGATACGCCCAGATTGCGTCTGAACCGCATGTCGGTTTTTAGCGAAAATCGAGCGGATATATGAAGAGGCCATTGGGAATCATCATGTGAAGTTTCAACTCTGAGCACCCCCCCCCACAAACAGAATGCAAATCGACAATCGGTCAACCCTTAAAAATGTTTTTTTTCCGGTTTTTTAAAGCTGATCGTCTTGTGTTCATTTTGCTTAGCTCTTTTTTCGTAACAGATTTTGCCCCGCTGAAATTGGGGTGCGTCTTATACACACGTGCGTCTTATACACCCGTGCGTATTATACACCCATGCGTCATATACACCCGTGCGTCTTATACACCCGTGCGTCTTATATACCCATGCGTATAGAGTCTTATATACCCATGTAGTATAGAGCTTAGAAAAATTCGCAAGAAGTAAGGCATGTAACAACATCAGCACGGCAAAGGGCACTCCTCTAAAGGCAAGGAAGGGCAAAAATATTTTAAATCAAGTGATTGCGATTGCTGTATGAGTCGTACTATTTTTGAATCAAGCACGAGCAACGCCGGGCCATGCTGCTAGTATATATATATATATATATATATATATATATATATATATGAGGTTTAATTATCTACCAACTCATTTGATACGTAATCACCAGAGGGAATAAGCTATTTTTTTTTGCGGGGTGGTGGTGGAGTGATGATGGGTGAGTGTTTCGTTGAATAACACTCACCCGTGTTCGTAAGGGTCACGTGAACAGCAAAGCATGATGCAAAGCAGTTGAACTGACGCTGTTTTGTCGAAGCTAAACGAAAGGAACCGTAAACCAGTCGACAGAGGCGCAGGTGTCAGGCCGTCTACCTCGTAATTGATTGACGTCTAACGAACAGACTTCCTCTGTTCCACGGCTGCGGGATATGCAAGACGATAACGGGAAATAATGCCGAAGTATAATCTCCAGCCTCTCGCGGGAGAACAAAAAATAAATAAATAAAGGGAGATAACTGCTGTGAAAAAATGTTTGCGACATTGATTGAACGTTCCTGACTTTTTGAATGCCGTCCAGAATCGAGCAAATCGGTTAATTAACATCTACTTTTCACAAAGCAGTTACACACCCCCACCCCCCGCTAGGCTTATGAGTACCGTCTCCATTTTTTGTAAGTGTTAGTGAGAGTTGAGCGCTTTACCGTGGCTCAGTTGATAAACTTGACTGCTTCCTCGGTTGTTGGAATACATCACGTCATGGTAGAGCGTCTCCGAATAATAAAACCAATATTATCGCATGTGGATATCTATACAGCGAAAACACACCCACAGGAACACAGACAGACAGACACACACACACACACAAACATAAACATTTGCTTTGATAGACGACGAAACAACTCTGATAAGTTTTCCTTTTGTCTTTATTCATATATATATATATATATATATATATATATATATATCATACTTATTATAAAACCCAGGTTGTCTGTGTGTGTGTCTGTACGTTTATATATTGGATTGGATTTCCTACATTTTTCAACCGATTTCAACAAAACTTCACAGGACTACGTAAAATTACCTTGCGGTGGTTCTGACAGCGCCGAAAACTGGAAAAACACAATTGTTTTGGCACGAAATCAATTTGAAAACACGATTAAGAGGCATTGCTGTCACCATAATGAAAGAGGGACAACTCATATCGAGTTATACTTATTATAAAACCCAGGTTGTTTTTTGTGTGTGTGTGTGTGTGTGTGTGTGTGTGTGTGTGTGTGTGTGTGTGTGTGTGTGTGTGTTCGTTTATATATGGGATCGGATTTCCTACATTTTTCAACCGATTTCAACAAAACTTCACTTTTTTGTTTATGGCAGGTAGTGTTTCTTATTGTCTTGAACACTTTTTTCTTTATTTACATTCAGAATGCTTTAAAAATTCCATTTACAATACATTTGTTTATAATAAAATTATATTCAATCGGTAGAGACTCATAACGATTGAAAACAATGTTTTTGTTTGAGTTTGACCAATTCGCAAAAAAAAACAAAAAAAAAACAAAAAAAAACTAATTAAGACATGCGTGTCCGTCAACCTTAAACAATAATCTTTGTCAATTTTATTTTTCAGTCTTTATGATGGTAGATACTTGATCTATCTCTTACTGTTACATCCCCGAGCAACGCCGGGCTCTACTGCTATATATATATATATATATATATATATATATATATATATATATATATATATAGGGTCTTGCAGCAAAATCCAACACTTAACAAAAAAGAAAACGACATAGGCAATAAAACAAAAGACCCGACAGTTTGTTTAGCAACAGTTAGAGTTACATACTACATTATTTTTCAATGTAACCACCGGCGGCAGCGACGACCATCTCAAGGCGGGCACGAAATGGGTCTTACGCTTTGGCGACCATGTCCATAGAGGCGTGTTGTAGGCGTGCTTGTTGATCTTGACCTCGATCACGCCCCAGAAGAAATAGTCAAGGTGATTGCAGTCAGGTGAGGAAGGCGGCCACAAGTCCGGCAAATTTGAAGTTTGTAACTTCGGTTTTTGAAACATGGTTATTACTGTGTAGTGAAGAAATCATATTTTAAATCAGTTAATTTATAATATATATATATGTGTGTGTGTGTGTGTGTGTGTGTGTGTGTGTGTGTGTGTGTGTGTGTGTGTGTGTGTGAAAAGTGTGTGTATATAAAATATATATATATATATATATATATATAATTATTTATATATTATATGCGCGGTACTTATTAGAAAGCGCTCAATATCGGAGATAGGGCTAACATAAAGCGTGAAACCCAGGATCACAAACTCACATCTATCCAACCATATATATATATATAACGACAGGAAGTAACTCACTATAAACAAGCTATATCAAAAATACTTTTACAAATTTGGGGGCAGATTCCTGACACCAAAACAAAGTAAAATGGCCATATAAGTCCAAAATACCATCGTTTCATTGTACCTCAACACAGCAACTCATAACAAATGTCCAAAATGCCCTCCACTTGCATCTACACACGCATGCGCCCGTCGGATCATTGACTGGCGGACCTTTTCAAATACTCCCACACGGTGTCGAATGTTTTCGCAGGCCCCCCGAGACAAGCGTCTCTGCATTATTAATGTCTGCTGTATAAGTCAATTGTTTTAGGTGGTCCCATGGATAAAAATCCAAAGAAATAATGTCGGGGAAACGTGCAGGCCAATGGGAGCAGTGCTCCCTTAACTATTCATCTTTCATGGTAGATGTCAGCCATTATACATGAACCACATGCGTCTTCCTATTAGCAGGGGTACATCCTCTAGCAGGTCTGGAAGTATGTTCGAAATAAAGTCCCTGTAGACATCTACTGTAAGACGTGCTGGTGAAACATATAGACCTTCCAGACAGTCACCTACAATTCCATCGTACACATTAATCGTAAACCGATGCTGTTTTTAAGCCTGTACCAGGATCCGCCCACAAATTTTGGTTGTGTAAATTTGATCTTCTATCTCTTCCAAGTGTTACCTCATCCGTAACCAAGATCGAAGAGACAAACAATTGATCGGAAGTTTGTACAATAAACCATCGGTAGAAGTTCTACTGTGGTCAGTGAGCAGAGGGTGAAAGACCCGGCACACGTTGCAAATGATACGGATACAGGAGCTGCACTTGAAGTACCCTTCCTGCGGTTCCAGATGTACGACATGCAAAGACCCCTTGATATGTGCTGATAACTGGTTCATCTCCGAGAGTCTATAGAATGTGTTCTTCGTGGACTTGATCCATACTTCGGTCTGCAAAGGCAATCTGATACAGCCATGCAGCCTCGCGTCCATTACCATTCGCGCGGCCGTATGTAAGAATCCTATCTGCCCGCTCACGATATGAATATCCTGCCATTGTTTATCGGAACACTTCCCAGTTATCTCACTACAGCACAAGTATCATATATGATAAAAAACGAAATGTAATTGAGGGGCTAAACGAAGATTTGGATTTACTCAGAGAGTATCATTAACACATGGAAGAACATACCTTGGAAGACTAAAGTCCACTTCTTTGTTTATTCTCGTTAAAAAAGGACACAGGCGTGTCCTAAAGTTCCGACTTTAAAATCTCTTCGTGCTTCAGTTTATTAAAAGGGCCTACAAGTATAATACATATATATATATATATATATATATATATATATATATATATATATATATAATTATTATTATATACCATACATATGGGAACTAATGAGTATATCCCAATCTTCATAAATACGTTGGACACTATTTTAAGTAGTGGAAATATGCAGTCTGAGAAGTCCACCACAAGCAGTGGTTTACCTACATCACGTCGCTGACGAGTATTGTATTTTGTTGATGTTGTAAAGATTACCGTTTCATATCCAACGTCTGTTTTGGTTATTTCTCATTCAGTAACCCTTT